GAGTAGTTGTTAGTTGGTGTGCAGAGTAGTTGTGGTAGTTGTAGTTAGTTGTTTAGTTGGTGCAGGAGTAGTTGTAGTTGTGGGTAGAGTAGTTTAGTGGTGCAGGTAGTTGTAGTTGGTGCAGTAGTGTAGTTGTAGTTTAGTTTGAGGAGTAGTTGTAGTTGGTAGTGTAGAGTAGTTGTAGTTGCAGTAGTTTGTAGGTGGGCGGAGTAGTTGTAGTTGGCAGGAGTAGTTGTAGTTGGTGCAGGAGTAGTTGTAGTTTGGGCAGGAGTAGTTGTAGTTGGTGCAGGAGTAGTTGTAGTTGGAGGGACTGTTGTTGTTGTACGTGATGTGCAGGAGGTTGGTCCAGTCACAGCTGTGTACGGGGACAGTTTAGGTAGAAATGTGTTCAGAACAGAGGTGGGACACGTGTTTGGTGAGGCACAGCCCCGGGTGGGGATACCGGACGATGAAAATGTTGTTGCTGAAAAATCAGAACAGGAAATTGTAAGTTTTAGTAGAAATGTTTTATTTTCATGATTTTAAACATGTTATTTCTTTATGAACTTAAAAGAAGGAAACAAATACACAAGCTGTAAATAACAAGTGTATTCCTCTGATTTCAGACAAACCTGTAGTTTGGAAGCAGCTGGTCTCCAGTTCATTACATGTTACATTAGTAGTGCATGTGCCTGTCTGAGGATCACAGGTCGGGCATTGCACTGAGCTGTTTCCAGGAGGCGACGGCACTGCAACACAAACCAGAACATCACTACATCTTTAACCACAGTAGCTTTTTTTTTTTGTAGATTCCCCAAATTCAGTGTTTGTTGTCTTCACACTTATTTTCTGATTTTTTTTTTTAACAAATGAAGTGTACTCACAGGTTGGGGTAACTTTGTTGCAGTTTGCTGTGGCACAACAGGTGGCTTGTGCAAACACTTGACCAGATCCAGGGTTTAAGGAGTATGTCTGTGTGCCTGCAGCTGGACACAGTGAGGAGTCTGCACATTTCTTTATTATTATTACTATTATGGTATTAGTGGTTCCACGCCGAGTAACTAAAAAGAAATAAAAATGTGTAAATTATCCAAAACATTTTAATTCATATCAAGAAAATATTAATTAATTTTGTGATGAAATTTTACTTTGTATTGTTGATACAAAGCACATGGTGTTTGTTACTGGACACGTTTGAGAATTAGTTGCGTTACATGTTGGATCAGTGGGGTCTACACAAATGTCACACTGGAGTGGAGAATCTGTTGAAACACAACACAAATCATTTATAATAAAACACTGATGCTTCTCTCTTAAGTGCATAAATAATGTTCCCTGTTATAACACGTCTGTAAGTCTTTAACTGTCCTGGTAAAACACACAAATACATTCATACTACAAGAAGAGTCAAGTATTCTAAAGAAACATAATTCATAATGAACAGATTTATGCATTTCCCAAAAATGACCCATCATTTTGAAAAACAAGTAAATTATACCAGAAAATACAAAGTAAGAACCACAAATGTTCGTCCCTTTTAATATCTCAGTTAAACGTATTAACTCAGGAGCAGGACCACGCCCCGACCGCCCCCTCCTCCTCATCATTGAACCACAACTCACTTCGACCACACCTCTAATTCCCAGAAGCCTATTTGTAGCAGTCTTTCCCATCATCCCAGTTTGTCTCATTAAACCCCACCCTCCCACTCCTGATCTTGTTTGTCTTTCAGCCGTAAGACGCCTACGAGGGGGGTCCCGTTCTGACTGGGCCAATTGCTGATTGAGACGTAGCCTCCACCCAGAGTCTCAACCCAGCCATCTCTGCCCCTCGTACTTTATCAATAAACTTCTTCGCTCTGTGGTCGTAGTTGGTGTGGTCCTTGCTAGTGAAGACATGATTCCATATGATGTTCCTATTAATACTTGTACCAAGTACACAGTAGTATGCTGATTGTGGAGATTGGCCTGTCCTCAAAATTCATACTGGATAATGTAGTATTTTATTTTTCTCTTTTATTTTCTTGGAATGCCCCTTGAGATATGTTATCTTGTTTTTGAGAGGATTAAAAAAAAAAAAAAAAAAAAAAAAAAAAAAAAATATTAGTAATACACAATACAGTAGACAGAATACAAAAGTACAGGTTTACATAACAAAACATCCACCCACACACATGCATACATATGTAGCTTGAAAAATGCTATAGTTAAAGTTTTATATGGAAACAGACACCCCCTCTATTTTATTTTTTATTTTTTTCGTGTGTAACATTTACTAATGTCTTTTATTTTGGGTGCAATACACACTCTGACCAGTAGATAGTGCTGTTGGCACTACTGTGGGGACTAGAGGGACACAGCACAAGTGCAGCTTCAGCAATAAACAAGCTGTGACCAGACTAACATGTGTCCTTTTCGTCTATCAACAGGTATGATTTAAAAAGTTATTTTATTAACTCAGACTTGGTCCAAACACATTTTAGTTAAATGTGTAAAGGTTTTCAATGACCCCTCCTTGAACCAGTACCTCAATGTGGTGGATTTGAGTGCCCAAATGAACCTGGCAGCTATGTTGTCGGAGCTTCATGCTCCTGGTAGGGTCACCCAAGGCAAAGAGGTCCGGGGTGACGGGTCAGACTAAGAACGGTTCAGAAGCTCTTTATGAAGAGTGCGATTCAGAGGCCAGTTACTTCGCCCGGAATAGCATTACCGGGGCACCACCCTGGAGCCAGGCCTGGGGTGGGTGCTCAATGGTAAGCGTCTGGTAGCCAGGCATTTCTCCCCAAAGGAGGTGGAGGGATATCTAGGTGGCGGTCGAAGGCGGGGGCCTCGACGACCGGATCTCCAGACATGGAGAGTAGCTCTGGAGACATGGAATATCACCTCGCTGAGGGGCAAGGACCCAGAGCTTATGAGGTAGGTTGAGCGCTACTGACTAGATATAGTCAACTTCACCTCCACGCACAGTTTGGCCTCTGGAACCCAATTCCTTGAGGCAGGTAATGCCATCTCTCTGGCATTGGCCACGGGGAAGCAGCAGCAAGCTGTTGTGGGCCTGCTCATTGCCCCACAGCTCAGTGGAGTTCACACTGGTGAATGAGAGGGTCACATCCCTGCACCTTTGGGTCAGGGACAGGTCTCTCACTGTGGTGTCGGCCTATGGGTCGAACAGCAGTGCAGAGTACCTGGCCTACTTGGAGTCCCTGGTAGGGGTATTACGGACAGTGCACCAACCAGGGGGACTTCAACGCCCACATGGGCAATGACAGTGACACTTGGAGAGGGGGGATTGGGAGGAACGGCCTCCCTGATCTGAACCTGAGCAGTGTTCTGTTATTGGACTTTTGTGCTAGTCACAGTTTGTCTATAATGAACACCATGTTCGAGCACAAGGGTGTCCATCTGTGCACATGGCACCAGGATGCCCTAGGCCGGAGGACGATGATCGACTTTGTCGTCATGTCATCTGACCTCCTGCCATGTGTCTTGGACACTCGGGTGAAGAGGGGGACTGAGCTGTCATCTGATCACCACCTGGTTGTGAGTTGGGTCCACTGGTGGAAAAACCAGGCAGGTCCAAGCGTGTAGTGAGGGTCTCTTAGGAACATTTGGCAGAGCCCTCTGTCAGAGGGACTTTGAACTCGCACCTTCAGGAGGGTTTCTCCAAGATTCTGTGGGAGGCTGGAGACATGGAGTCCGAGTGGGCTTCGTTCTCGATCTCTATTGTCGATGCGGCTGCTCGTAGCTGTGGGCGTAAAGTCGGTGGTGCCTGTCGCAGCACTCTCACTTCTTCCAAGGAGGAAGCCGAGACTGCAGACTTGGAGGTGGGCTCATCCATAACCCTGGCCGAAGTCACTGAGGTGGTTGGTGTAAGGCTCCGGGGGTGGATGAGATCTGTCCTGAGTATCTTAAGTCTCTGGATGTTGTGGGGCTGTCTTGTCTAACACATCTTTGCAAAATCGCGTGGCAGTCGTGGATAGTGCCTCTGGACTGGCAGACCGGGGTGGTGGTCCCTCTGTACAAGAGGGGGGACCGGAGGGTGTGTTCTAACTACAGGGGAATCACACTCCTCCCTGGTCTATGCCAGGGTACTGAAGAGGAGAATCTGGCTGATAGTGGAACCTCGGATCCAGGAGGAGCAGTGTGGTTTTCGTCCTGACTGTGGAACACTGGACAAGCTCTACACTCTCCATCAGGTGCTCAAGGGTTCATAGGAGTTTGCCCAACCAGTCCAAGTGTGCTTTATGGATTTGAAGAAAGAGTTCAACTGTATCCTTCGTGGTGTCCTGAGGGGGGTGCTCTGGGAGTATGGGGTTTGGGGCCCTTTGCTAAGGGCTGTCCAGTCCCTGTACCAGAGCAGAAGCTGTATTCGCATTGCTGGCAGTAAGTTAGACCTGTTCCCGGTGCATATTGGACGACACCAGAGCTGCCCTTTGTCACTGGTTCTGTTCATTGTTTTTATGGACAGAATTTCTAGGCGCAGTCAGTCAGTACATCAAACCAGGACCAGCAATGTGTACTGGGGCGGTTTGCAGCCAAGTGTGAAGCAAGCTGGGATGAAGATCGGCTCTTCCAAGTCCAAGGCTGTGGTTCTGGACTGGAAAAAGGTGTCTTGCCCTCTTCGGGTGGGTGGAGAGTCCTTGCCTCAAATGGAGGAGTTCAAGTATCTCAGGGACTTGTTCACGAGTGAGAGGAGGAGAGATTGACAGGCAGCATCTGCAGTGATGCAGATACTGTATTGGATTGTTGTGGTGAAGAAGCTCTTGATTTATCAGTCAGACTCCATTCCTACCCTCACCTATGGTCATGACCTCTGGGTAATGACTTAAAGGACAAGATCGCAGTGGCTGGGTGTTCCCTAAGAGATAGTGTGAGGAGCTTGGTCACACAGAAGGACCTCGGAGTAGAGTCACTGCTCCTCCATGTCGAGAGGAGCCAGTTGAGGTGGCTCGGGCATCTGTTCCGGATGCCTTTTGGGCTCTCCCTCGGGAGGTGTTCCGGGCATGTCCCACCGGAAGGAGGCCCCGGGGAAGACCAACGTTGGGGGGACCATGTCTCTCGGCTGGCCTGGGAACACCTTGGGGAGCTGGAGGACATATCTGGGGTGAAGGAAGTCTGGGAGGCCCTGCTTAGACCGCTGCCCCCGTGACCTGGCCCCGAATAAGCAAAAGAAAATGGATGGATGGACACATACACACAGACAGACAGACTTGCTTGAAGTTATATAAATGTGTGGCACTTGTAGGTTGCTTCACTCTTCTGTCCAGTTCATCCCAAACCAGCTCCATGGGGTTTAAGTCTGGGCACTGTGCTGGACACTTCATGTTTTCAAACTTTACCAACTAGTTTTGGCAGAGCTTGGACTTGTTTTGTATCTTTTATATCGTTTTTTAACCTCTGTCTGTTCAGTTCTTATCTTTTACTTACTACGTACTATTTCAAGCTCTTCATTGGACTTGCATGACTTAAATTGCAATTAATAACTGGAAAAATTAGGCTGTTCTAAAACTTTTGACCGGTAGTGTACATTTAAAAAATAGTTGAATCCAAAGAAATTCATGTCTATTGTATGGTTGTAGCCAGTTGAGTTTTCTAAATAAAATACAGTGATGGGTTTGGCATGGATATTTAAGACTAAATCTACAAAGAGATTCGAAGAGAACATTCACTGGTTTGAGATTTATATCATATGTTTTTTGCTAAATTGTATCAGCATAGTCAGTGATAGGTAAATCTGACTGAGGAATAATTATTTTTCTGACTTCTTGAGTGAAACATTTTGCTGACTGGTAAAGAGTACTTCATGTAGCATATCTTCTTTTGATGATGTAATCAATATGAGGGTTGAAGTTATAGTACAAGTCCAGCCAAAGACCAAGATACGCAACAACTGCGCAAATAATAGAAATTGGTTAAAAAGAGGAGTAACTCAAGCTATTTTCCAGATGGAAGGAAATGTTGATTTTAATTTCTAGAGACAGATTCAACTGATCCCTTAAAGGAGACATTTAAACATGTGCTGTCATTTTGAGAAATTTTGCCTCTAGATCAGGGGGTTCTTAATCTTTTTGATGCTGAGGCCTGATTTTTCCAGTGCAGAGTGGCCCAGGGCCAGTGTTGGGAAGTTTACTTTTAAAATGTATTCCCCTACAGATTACAGATTACATACCCCAAAATGTAGTTTGTAACATAATCCATTAAATTACTTACAGTGAGTAACATAATCTGAATATTTTGGATTACTTGATATTGTCATGCTTTCTAAAACTACATGAATGTAGCAACACATACTGAAAATTCTTGTTTGTTTTCTTCAAATCGTCTATTGAGCCCAAGTCTCCATGAACAGACTTTTGTTTGCTGTAAAGTAGCAAAGACTAGGAAATCTTAACATAAGATGTTTTGTCTGCTTAAAGACAATAAAAGTCCAGTCTTTGCTTAACCGTATTAAAAATATTATTGATAGAGAAATGCTTTCAATATGAGATCACTGCTGTCTTAAATTATATCCACCTACTGTTAGTTGTCATATTGTTTAATCCTGGTTTAATCCTGGTTTAGACCTGATTTTAGTCCTAGTTTAGTCCTGGTTTAGTCCTAGACTGGTTTAGTCCTGGTTTTAGTCCTGGTGGTTTTTGGTTTAGCCCTGGTTTAGCCCTGGTTTTAGTTCTGGTTTAGTCCTGGACTGGTTTAGTCCTGGTTTTAGTTCTGGTTTAGAGGCGCACAGGAGGACGCGTGGTATACGCAGTGTACGCGAGAATACACAGCGATGCACGGGAGGACGGCGGTGTCCGTGCAGAGTGGAAAGAGAGGCAGTCTATGTGTTTTCAGATTGATGATGATGATGAAGGTGGGTGATTGTGTGCATGTCCCCTCATGTCTCAGGTCACTATGGGACATATCATGAATCTATGCAGGTTGTTTTCATCATTGCCAATAGCTCCGGTTTGACATTTAAGTTGTAGGCAATTTTATATTTGTTATTTGGCTACAGCCAAATACCTGCAAAGAGTGAGGCAAGTTCTAAGAAGCCAGCTTAATGGCAAGAACAAGGTGCAGGCAATAAACAGTTACCCTGCCAGTGATCAGATACCCTGCAGGAATCATAAGCTGGCCAAAGGAGGAGATACAGACCACAGATATTAAGACACAAAAGCTCCTGACCTGCATGGAGAGATCCCAAATCCAGCACCCTGAGACTGTACGCAAGCCGGAAGGAAGGAGGCCGAGGACTAGTGAGTGTGGGAACCACTGTCCAGGATGAAACATCCAAGCTCCTTGAGTACATCAAGGACAAGGCCCCGACAGATGATGTGCTCAGAGAATGTCTCAGACAGTGGGGTCCAGAGGAAGAGGTGCTGGAGGGACCATCATGGCAGGACAAACCCCTACATGGGGCGTACCACCGGAACATAACTGAAGTGGCTGATATCAAGAAATCCTACCAATGTCTTGAGAGGGCTGGTCTGAAGGACACACAGAGGCACTGATCCTGGCTGCTCAGGAGCAGGCCCTGGACACTCGAGCAATAGAGGCCCAGATCTACCACACCAGACAAGACCCACGGTGTAGACTGTGCAAAGAGGCTCCTGAGACAGTCCAGCACATAACTGCAGGGTGTAAGATGCTGCAGGTAAAGCATACATGGAGCGACAACGGGCTAGGATCAAGGTGGGAAACACCTCCAAAGGTTGTGGAGAATGACCGAGCCAAGATCCTGTGGGACTTCCAGATACAGACTGACAGAATGGTGATGGCGAACCAACCAGACATAGTGGTGGTGGATAAGAAACAGAGCAGAGCCGTGGTGGTGGATATCATAATACCAAGCAATGCTAATATCAGGAAAAAGGAACATGAGAAACTAGAGAAATACCAGGGGCTCAAGGAGGAACTGGAGAAAGCCTGAAAAGTGAAGGCATCAGTGGTGCCTGTGGTGATCGGAGCACTCGGGGCTGTAACCCACAAACTGGAAGAGTGGCTTCAACAGATACCAGGAAAAACAATGGACATCTCAGTCCAGAAAAGTGCAGCACTGGGAACAGCAAAGATACTGTGCAGAACTCTCAGGCTCCCAGGCCTCTGGTAGACGACCTGAGCTGAATGAGGGTGAGCGAGACCTACCACCGTGGAAGGTGAGAAACAATTTATTATTATTTTTTTTTAATATATCACATACGCGTACCACCACCAACCATTATGCCGGTCCCTATCTTCTTTAAATACAAAGTGATATATCTAAATTTCCAAGACACAAATGTGTTTTTGCCCGTGCTCTGCTGGACTCTGTTCTACTGGCTCCTTGACCTCATCCACTGTGTGACTGATGCCACCATCGTTAACAAGATGTTTACGAAGCTCTTATTACGTTCTATTTGGGTTTCCGGCAATGAGTGGAATTACTGAAAAAAAAAAAAAAAGGGATATAGCCCAAAATGTGAAAACAAGAAAATACTGTAGTGTAATCCATTCACTTCAAGTAACTGTAATCCAAGTACCACTCATTGAAACAGTAACTGTAACCAAATACAGTTACTCATAATTTGTACTCTGATTACGTAACACAGGTACATGTAATCTGTTACTCCCCAACACTGCCCAGGGCCCATTCAATTTTAAAACTGTATATCAGGGGTATTCAACTAAAATTTGAGAAGATCCGGTTACAGAAAATCTCCTCAAGCAGAAGCCCGGGACTTCATAACCTAACTTATGATTGTGATACAGAAATAGCCTTGTTTTATCAGTGTCTGAATGTATGAACAATAGACTGTCAAATCAACCAAATACAAGTTTAAACATTTCAACAAAATGTATTTTTAACACTGAAACACACAGTAAGCAACACTAGATATAGGGCTGCAGTTTAAAATGAATGAGAGAAAATAAATTAAATGTCTAAATTGTGCAACTTCAAACAAAGTGCTTAATTTCAGAAAAAAAAAAAAAAAAAAAAAAAAGCAGCTTGAGTTTCCCATTTTCTTTAGCTTTCACAGCTCAACTTAACAGTGTCAATACATTTTTCAAAAGATATCTCAAAACCTCTTTCCTCTGTGTGTGCATTCAGAGTTGTGATTGCCCTGAATTGCATTTAGCCTAGTGTGAGAAATGCTCCAGTTGGACTACATCCAAATCAGAGTCCTGATCAGATGAGCTGGAGCGGGGAGTGATGTTAGGAGCCTTGGCCTGAAAAGCGCTTTCCCATGTGCACAGAGAATAGACCATACAGAACAACATATAACGAACAAAACTGGATTCACGCTTCTGTAGATGACAACCTGAAACTGCTCGGACCCAGTTCTTTGCGCACTGGTCTTGCTCGTCCCCGTCTGGATCCAGCACACGGAGGACGGTGCTTCTGGACCTATCTGACCAACATGCTCGGAGGACGGCACAAGACAAAGGACCGTACCCCAGTTGAGGGGCTGCGCGCTACAGTGAGTACTCCTTTGTCTTTAGCCCTGTTGCCCGAACTCAGAGCTTCTGCTCTGGGCTGATGTGCGTTGAGTTGTGTGCAAAGTTCTACATGCTGCTGTTTTATGAGTTCATGGTGATAACTTGAGATGAGGATGGCCTGCTGTGTCGATACCTTTTGGAATTGGCGGTACCTCTCTACCCCCTCGGAACAGAGGTGCGGGGTAGATTGGGCAGACCCTGTTTGGGTCTATGGGATGCCGTCTGGCTCCGGAGTCAGACCGCGGTCCAAAAGTTAGCAATCCTGATGCAGTCCCACGGACCTCGCGGCCCACTGGTGCAAAACTGAAAGTTTTTTGTGGCCCTCTAGGTGGCACTCGTGGCCCATGTTTGGCCCTATGGTTAAGAATCACTGCTCTAAACCATCAGGACCAGAGTATCGGGATCTAGTCTTTAGTTTAAGTATTGCATGATAGACCTCTATTGGTGGTATTTTTGAAAAGGAGAAAAGGGGACCAGAGAGAAAATCACACACAGTATAGGGATTTAAATTCCCTATATTGTGTTAGAAGATGAGTAAGATTAACACTGTTCACTAAATTCACTGGAGGAGGAACTGTGGAGCCACTTACTAAAGTCACCCAGTACAATCATTTCATTATGGTTTTTGAGTGAGCTCAGTGTAGAGAGAATACATTTCATAGACTCTACGGGAGCAGATGGTGGTCTATAAATATTTGTAATTGTGTAACTGTTTGTGTGAAAATTGATATCATCAGATAGGCACTTAACATGAACTGGCTCAACAGTTGGAAAGATACACCCAGATTTTAGAAAGGTGGATACCCCTGCAAAATCGATCTGATCTGTATAAAACAAAACCATACATTTTTACTTCATCACCTGAAATACTGTTGTGTAGACAAGTTTCTGAGATTGTGTTCACATTAAGCTTACCCATGTTCTAAGTAGATCTATTTTGGAGATAATATTATATTACAGTGAATGATCTTTAAACCCTTAGTTGTCTCTATAGAGGCTTTGCACTGTCACGTGTCCCCCATGGCAACGGTACCTTTGCCACCATGACACCGGGCACGCTATGTCATTGGCTTCAGTAGCATCGGAGAAACATGGGCGGGTTTTGTTGTGTATTTGGTTGTTCTAGCCACTCTGAACGGGATAAAACGATTAGTTTCTTAACTGTTCCTCTGGAAATTACTTATCAGGAGTCGAAAAAAAAAGATGTGGATTATGGCTACAGAACATAAACCATGAAGAGATTTCCTATGGTACCATCAAGACACCCGAAGTTTCATCAAGGTATTTGCTCTTTAAATTGTTTCATAGCTTATTTAATGAAAGAAGCACATTTACTGAACTAAAATTTCATTAATTTATCCAGGAAAACCCGCACTAGTTTACGATTCAACGAACCCACACTGGGCTCCTATGATCAACATGGAGCACGAGTCGAAGAGTCTGTGAACCGAACCTCAAAAGAATCGGCCATGAAAAGATCCTCGTGTATGTTAGAAAGGTCCGCTCACAAAAAGCGATTAATTCTAGAAGACATAGTTGTGGTTAAGCAAGACAATAAAGAAAACATGGGTCCTACGACGAGTGACATGTTTATATGTGCGCTGGAAGATCCAGTTTCTACTGCCACTCACACTGCAAATGTTTTCTTTTTACATTTTAGTTCAGTAAATGTGCTTCTCTCATTAAATAAACTATGAAACAATTTAAATAACAAATACCTTGATGAAAGTGACGTGAGTGTGTCTTGATGGTACCATTGGAAATCTCTTCGCGGTTTATTTTCTCTAGACATAATTCCCGTCTTTTTTTTTTTTGGATAATTCCCTTGTTTGAGCTCCTGATGAGTCATTTCCAGAGGAACAGTGAAGAAACTAATCGTTTTATCCTTTTCAGAGCGTCTAGAACAACCAAATACACAACAAAACCTGCCCATGTTTCTCCGATGCTGCAGAAGTCAATGACATAGTGTGCCCGGTGTCGGTGTCATGGTGGCGTAGTTACCGTTGCCATGGGGGGGACGTGACGGTGCAAAGCCTCTATTGTGTAAGAACCACTGATATAGACGAGAGTGGAGAGGAGCACCAACACTGACACACAAATAGACAAACACACAGACAGACACATATAGAAAAGAAACATGTTCAAGATTATCCTGTGTTTAACACAACAATTACCTAACTAATCTAACTTAATATAAATCTAACAAATTCGCTAATAAACAACAAACAAAAATAATGTGAATTGTTAAGCAATGTTAAATAAACTCTAACATAATGTAAATCCGAGCAACAATAGCAAAAAACAATAAAGATTTAGTGTACCTGTAGTTTGTAGTAGTAGTTGTAGTTGGGGCAGGAGTAGTTGTAGTTGGTAGCGAGTAGGTAGTAGTAGTTGTAGTAGTAGTTGTAGTTGGAGCAGGAGTAGTTGTAGTAGTAGTTGTATTTGGGCAGGAGTAGTTGTAGTTGGAGCAGGAGTAGTTGTAGTTGGAGCAGAGTAGTTGTAGTTGTAGTTGTAGTTGCAGGAGTAGTTGTAGTTGGAGCAGGAGTAGTTGTAGTTGGAGCAGGTAGTAGTTGTAGTTGTAGTTTGTAGTTGTAGTAGTAGTGTAGTAGTAGTTGTAGTAGTGTTGTAGCAGGAGTAGTTGTAGTTGGAGCAGGAGTAGTTGTAGTTAGTTGTAGCAGGTAGTAGTAGTTTGTAGTTGGAGCAGGAGTAGTTGTAGTTGTAGTTGGGCAGGAGTAGTTGTAGTTGGAGCAGAGTAGTAGTTGTAGTAGTTGGTGCAGGAGTAGTTGTAGTTGGTGGTGGAGTAGTTGTAGTTGGAGGTGGAGTAGTTGTAGTTGGTGATAAGATGGAGATGTTAGTCACATTTTTGTAAACGGACAGTACAGGTAGAAATGTGATGAGAACAGAGATGGAATTAGTATTTGCTGAGGCACAGCCCTGGACTGGGAGACTGGACGCTGAAGTTGTTGCTGAAATTGTAAGTTGAAATGTTTTACTTTCATTATTTTAAACATGTTATTTATGAGCTTTAAAGAAAGAAAGAAATACACAAGTCTGTAAATAACAAGTGTATTCCAGTGATTTCAGACAAACCTGTAGTTTGGAAGCAGCTGGTCTCCAGTTCATTACATGTTACATTAGTAGTGCATGTGCCTGTCTGAGGATCACAGGTCGGGCATTGCACTGAGCTGTTTCCAGGAGGCGACGGCACTGCAACACAAACCAGAACATCACTACATCTTTAACCACAGTAACACCTTTATTTTCTAATGGATATAACTTTCATCTTCTTTCAACTTTTGTCTTTTTTAACTAATGAAATGTACTCACGTGGTGGGGCATCTCTGTTGCAGTTTGTTTTGTTACAACAGGTGGCTTGTGCAAACACTTGACCAGATCCAGTGTTTAAGGAGTATGTCTGTGTGTCTGCAACTGGACACAGCGAGGAGTCTGCACATTTCTTTATTATTCTGGTAGTAGTCGTTCCACCCTGAGTAACTGAAAAGGAATAAAAGTTTGGAAATGATTTTAAACAAATTATGTCATTTCATAGAAAGAAAATATGAATGAAATGTGTGATAAAAATTGTACTTTGTATTGTTGATACAAAGCACATGGTTTCTGTTGTACAGTCTTGCACTGGTGATTGTTTGCATGTTGGATCAGTGGAGTCTTTACAAACAGTCACAGTTGATTGTAGAACCTGTTGAAACACAACACAAATCATTTATAATAAAACACTGATGCTTCTCTCTTAAGTGCATAAATAATGTTCCCTGTTATAACACGTCTGTAAGTCTTTAACTGTCCTGGTAAAACACACAAATACATTCATACTACAAGAAGAGTCAAGTATTCTAAAGAAACATAATTCATAATGAACAGATTTATACATTTCCCAAAAATGATCCATCATTTTGAAAAACAAGTAAATGATACCAGAAGATACAAAGTAAGAAACACAAATGTTCATCCCTTTTAATATGGACATGATTCCATATGATGTTTCTATTAATACTTGTACCAAGTACACAGCAGTATGCTGGTTGTGGAGATTGGCCTGTCCACACAATTCATACTGGATAATGTGAATAGTTAAACATTGTCTATTGAAAAGTCAAATAAACTCTAACATAATGTAAATCATAATATAATCAAATAAACTCTTACATAATGTGAATCATAACAATAGCAACAACAATAAAGTCTTAATGAGTATAATTAATGTTACCTGAGCTGCAAAAAGTCAGAGTTAGAGCCAGAGAAAACAGTATATGTCTCTTCATGTTCATCTCTCTGTAGTTTCCTCTGTGTTTGCTTTTAGATCTCTTGTAGTTTGGAGATGCACCTGCATCTTATATATGTTTGAGGTTTGAATGGGCTGTGGCTGTTTAGTCTTTTATTCTGACCAAATTCATAATCTGAGAATGTGTCACACCCACTCAATGCCCTGAGTGACAGATGAAACAACAAAGCATGGACACTTAATAAGCTGTTTGTGAGATGCTAAATAAATAAACCTAGTTTCTATGAAGGATGGAGCCATGCACTCTAGCCAAGTTGAACTCAATCAAGAGACACAGGAATTCTATTGAACATTAAGAGACTTTTCATAGAAACAGCCCCAAAATCTGTTCTTATGAATTTTTTATGAAGTTATAATAATAATAATAATAATTGTTATTATTATTAGTATTATTATTATTATTAAAACTAGGACAGTTTATTTCTTTTTAATCATTACCTTTTCTTTATTTGTCCCCTAAAGGAGAACATGAGACATAACGTGTAGAAAACTGCAGGAATAAATAACCTGAGAGTTATGTGATGAGGATCATTAACAACAATGGTGCTTATGCTGCATTCACAATTCACACAGCAGGTCAAGTTGTTTTTTTGTTTTGTTTTTCAAATGTAACCCTTTAAATCTCCAATTCAGTCAACTTTATTTATATAGCACATTTTATAAACATGACAGTTTCCAAACTGCTGCACAGACAAATCATAAAAAAAAAAAAAAACTATAAACGCATAAAGCATTTATGCAAATTATAAGAAAATTAACAAAATAAAATCAATTAAATAATAAAAATAAAATTTCAAGTTAAATAAAAGACACAGAGCACTTCACTGGGGAAGCTTCGGACTTGGTGTGTTCAATCCTGGCATAGAGGGCCCTTCCCCTCAGGTGTCAGACCCCACACAGCTTCCTAGGTGACTCACTGTGCAGTGTTTAAAACTGTAATGTTATTATGTTTCCTGTACAGCAGACTTGTTCTAACCCTCAGGGCCATTTTGAACACCTGTTCTTAGTTTGTAACAATAATTATGAAATGATCTCTGGCTAATCCAGAATTAAAAATAATAATCAAAATAAATAAAAGTTTATTAATGGCAGTAATTTCATGCAAAGCTCTTAAAAACTAGGTCAGTACCTTGTTCCTGAAAGAGCCCATTCATTTGATTCATTTACTATTGGTGATCTACCATTAGTCCAACACATAACATCATGAAAAGTATCTAGTTAAAAAAACTTTGGAACATCACAGTTAGAAAAAATAAAAAAATGTCTTCATTATTCACATCACATCATATTGTCTAATATTGAAAAACAGAAATTGTGAAGACACAAACACTGCCATTGAACACTCCATTCTCAAAATGCTGGACTCTGTGGGCCTCCTGCTTTGCTTTTAGAGACTCTAACAACCGAACTCTGCAACATTATCCACTGACTTGTTTTAGTAAAACCTTGTTTTAGATTTAAAAATTCATCATAATAAAAATCCTAACATTCACTGTTGTCTCCATTCTTGAAAGTGGAAAAATACTGGTAATCTGAACCTGCTCTGTGACATGTACACAACTGGTGAGGTGAGGTTTCTGATGGACACGCTCAGGGCTCACAGTTCACACTGCACCTCTTCACAGATTCAGGGCAGCTCAGGGTTTGCTCTTATTATTCTGCACATGACATGGCACAGAAACGTATCCTTCCCCTAAATTATGTCCCACCCTGGGCCACTGTAAAACTCTGCACTGGCACCAACTTTGCCCCAAGGCCTTTGCCTTTTCAGGGAAAGCATTGAATTACAAAAGAAAGTAAATATTATTAACTATACTTAACTCTATTATGCATAATCAACTTTTCAGAGCCAAGTGTTGGAGTTCACCTCAGTGAACGAGAGGGTCGCATCCTTACGCCTTTGAGTTGGTGACAGGTCTCTTATTGTTGTGTCGGCCTACAGGCCAAAGTCTCTGCAGTGCAGAGTACCCGGCCTTCTTGGTGTCCCTGGGAGGGGTACTAGTCAGTGCACTGACCGGGGACTCTGTTGTTCTGCTGAGAGACTTCACGTGAGCAACACCACTGGCTCCTGGAGAGGGGTGAGTGGGAAGAACAACTGACCTGCCTGGGTAGGTGTTCTGGGCACGTTCTACCGGGAGGAGGCCTGGAGAACACACAGGACATGGTGGAGGGACTATGTCTCTCAGCTGAGGAATCCCCCCAGAAGAGCTAGAGGAAGTGTGTGTGGAGAGGGACGTCTGAGCCTCCCTGCTGCTGTCTCCTCAACCTGGCCCTGGATAAAGACGAAGAAAATGGATGGATGGACTTTTCAGAGCTGTCGTAACTGTTTCCCTTTCTCATTTACCCTTTCAAAGTTGTATTTGGAGTGATTTGTGCAAGTTTGCATCTTTAATTGCTCATTTTGAAGACGCCAAAGACTGAGACTGACAAAGTTTTCACTGGCATCAGTGAAGCACTGCTCTGTTCGTACTTCAGTCTCGGCCACCACAATTTTCTAATGCAGAAGTCAGCAGAATGTTTTCTTGTATTATGTTGTTAATGTAAATGAATATTGCTATTTAAAATGTCCAAACTGTAACATGATCCACGGGTGTCATAGATGATAACTCTAGAGCAGACATAAGCAAAATATGTCTTCTTTAAGATTATTTAGGTTACTGTCTAGTTTAATTATGATATGTATTGCAGCCCAAGCCTTTAATGAAGAAGATCTGCAATAAAAAAAGAAGAAACTAAGAAAAAACAAACAAACAAGAAATATGTCCGTTACAACCGATTTCATCTTGAGGTGGATGTCCCCTTCCCAGTATGAGAAAATGTCTATCCTCTGGGCTTATATATTACATTTTCTCAGATCTTACTTTTATTTGACCAAATGTTTTAGCACTCTGTCTAGTGTCTGTATTTGCCTTTGGGGAGTCCACTCTGTTAAATAGTTCCTGTGAGTATATTCCTGTTGGAGAGGCCAGAGGATTGTTACGTGAGACAAAGAGCTAACCCAGATATTTGGAGAATGAGCTGGCACATTCTGTGTAGTTATGGGAAACAACTGAAAGCAACATTTGAACTCAGCAGTTTTCATGGAGGATGAATTTAGATTTGGCAGCAGGTTCAGAGACAATTAGCTATAAACAGGTCATGTACCATTTTGGTATTTTAATATGTGTTACATGTTCTTTTTAGGTCAAAAGTATATTATACCTTATGTGTGTGTTCATGTCTCAGTACACGTGACGTTAAAGGTGCACTGTTTAAGTGTTCTGGTGCAGATGGAGTTGCTTTTTTTGGCAGATTTCACATATGGAGTTAGTGGCATTTCACACTTTTAGAAATCTATCTGAATAAATACAAGACAAAGTCAAAGACATAGTGCACCTTTAATGTGGACTGTGGTTGTGCTGTAACTCTGCCCAACATGAAGTCAACTCTCTGTAAGAGTGTCATAAGCAGTGTGCATACATGTACACACACACACACACACACACACACACACACACCACACGCACACACACACACACACACACACACACACACACACACACACACACACACACACACACACACACACACACACACACACACACACACACACACACACACACAGCACACACACACACACACACACACACACACACACACACACACACACACACACACACACACACACAGACACACACACACAGACTCAGACACACACACACACACACACACAGGAGCAGGAACTGGGCTGGAACAATCACTGCTGGCAGTTTAAAATATTTGTGTGGGGAGAGATTGGGTCTGCAATAAACAAAAGGAGACGGAGACGTTATTTTCTGTGTTGTCTTTGTTTTCTGCTACTGCTGAGTAACTTTAATTGTACATGTGCACAATACAAAAAAACTACAATTTACATAAAAATTACATTGGATTACACTTTCAGTCCAAGTCTCTCTTGTTCTTGGTAAACAAAACCATAACTATCCATAAATAATGTTTATTACCTAATCTAAATTTTACAGTTGATCTCAATTCAAAAAGATGTCATAAAACGACTTAAGTCTCGCAGGGTAGCATACTTGTCGGGACATTACTTTTATAACTGTACCTTTGTGTTAACACTATCGTAACTTTTACATATGCACAAAATAACAATAACAAATACGCGGGGCTGGAGCGCGGCAGAATCACACGTTTGAGGCTAACGCTAGCGCAGCAGTTAGCATAGCACGCTAATCAACATTTTAATGGAAAGAATAGAACAGCAGACATCAGATATTCCAACAAACGTTATATGTTTATATGACTTCATATGAGTCAGTATTGTGATTGGTGGGACTGTACCAACCTGCAATAAACAAAAGGAGACGGAGACGTTACTTTGTGTTGTCTTTGCTTTCTGCTACTGCCGAGTAACAGGAAGCAGAGGCCAGAGCGCCCCCAAACCGTCTCACTGCACGTGCTGCCATCTGGTGGACAAAATAAAAATTGGAACTGTTCATCTTAAAACTAAAACACCACTATTATTCCTCATTTACAAACTTTCATGACATTAAATAAAAACTATGTGACCACACATTGTGGGCGTCACATATGCATGTGTGTGATCTGTGCTGGGACTCACCTTTTATCTATGAAGCTTTTTACTCTGCTCCATGGAAACCTTCATGTCCTTGTTCAGATGCACCATGATGACATGTGCACTGCCGTGGATTTGGATCAGTCATTAGCAGTGCCACATGCCCTGTGCCTTAAAAATGCCTCCTTTGGACATGTACATTGTTTTCTTTCTTTTACATGTAGAAACTGAAATCTCATAGCTTCAGCACAGGAGCTAAAAGGAAAATGTGCAGCTAATAAGGCACATTTCACCTGCAAACACAAAGACTTTACCATAGAGAGGAGATGCTCTTGATCTTAGTAAACAGCCACTGGACAAAGCCTAGTCCCCACTGCTCTTTCAAATGTGTGTTTTAAATGAGGCTCAGCATGTTTGTCCACTCACTATGACCTCTGTGTGATGGGAACAGGGCCGTGTGTTTGTTTTTTCTCCTCCATAGTTCAGACACTCAGGAGAAGATTATGAAACAGGACTGATTCAAACATGAGCTGTCAAACACATTTTAATATGTCCTGCCTTCTTAGACTTGGACAAACTTTGGACACACTCAGTTCTATATGACAAGACACAATCTATCCGACAGCCTGTGATCTGTAGAACTCTCCCCCTCCCCAGACTAGGTGCCTCTTGGCAGATTGCTGCTTCACTGTGTGGCCAGATTTAGTCCATAAGGCACAGCACGTGACACTATATCTCCATAATCCACTTGCAACAAGAAGTTCTGGAGTCACTTATACTCTTATAGCAACGTCATTTCCATGGGACAGACTCAATTGCTTCCCTAGTTTCACCTGATCACACACAGCCCAGTGTCCTGGGGCCTCATTTATAAAACTTGCTTACGCAAAAATCTGTGCGTGCGTGCTTCCTACGGCAACCGCGGTATTTATAAAACTCGCCTAAGGCGTGGCTCTTTGCTTAACTCTATGCCAACAGGACCTCCTGTAAGTTCAATGCAAAGTGTGGAGACACAGGGAAAAAGCGACACTCGTGGAGAGAAGCAGAAGTGAACAGAGTTTGAGGAAGTGTTTGATCAGAAAACCACGTATATAGAAGAATTACCTTCTGATTTGCGCATTTAAGTGTTTGGTTTGCCAAAATACGGAGAAGGGCTGTTTATTCCACTCATTATTCTCCACTATATTATACATTTGACACTCGTGCACGAGCGCGGCCACGTTCCCGGACTCGGTGTAGCACAGAGTCTCCCACAGTCCACACCGTGACCATAAACTTCTATAGAACAAAGTCTGTGACCAACACAGAGGACGAAATAATGACCCAACCTGAGAGAAAACTCTTCCCTTGGACACAGCAGGAGCCAGACTTTGATTTAATGAACGCAACTTTAACACTTTTACTTTAGTCTTTACGCACCGAGTGCCAGA